ACTTCAACTGTGAGAGACAGAATGTGAAAAAAAAATCCATGAATTCACATGGTAGGATTTGTAAAGAATTTATTCGTAAATTCGGAGATTATCAGAGGTCTTGTATGTCTTCCATTTTCTGATGATTGCTCCCACAGTTGATTTTTTCACACCAAGCTGCTTGCCTATTGTAGATTCACTCTTCCCAGTCTGGTGCAGGTCTACAATTCTTTTCCTGGTGTCCTTCGAAAGCTCTTTGGTCTTGGCCATGGCGGAGTTTGGAGTCTGACTGGTTGAGGCTGTGGACAGGTGTCTTTTATACAGATGATGAGGTCAAACAGGTGCCATTCATACAGGTAACGAGTGGGGGACAGAAAAGCTTCTTACAGAAGACGTTACAGGTCTGTGAGAGCCAGGGATTTTCCTTGTTTGAGGTGACCAAATACTTATTTTCCACCCTGATTTACGAATAAATTCTTTACAAATCCTACCATGTGAATTCATGGATTTATTTTTCACATTCTGTCTCTCACAGTTGAAGTGTACCTGTTGCAAATTACTGACCTCTGTCATCATTTTAAGTGGGGGAACTTGCACAATCGGTGGCTGACTAAATACTTTTTTGCCCCACTGTATGTCTCTTGAAGCACCACCGTTGTGACAGACATTAAAGTACTGTAGTATAGGCCTATTTAGCACCACATACAGTTTACACGAATTTTATTTATTATATGAATGTTATTTATTTTAACTGTCATAAACAGGATGGAACAAGTGATAATAATAACAACTGTACTGCAATAAAACATTCACAGCAGGTCTTTAAGTGATGACATATGAACAAACTACTCTGCGTTTATCAGGGCTGTTGTGTTTTCAACATGCTTTGATGCTTCTATCTTGTTCTATTTCATCTGAACAAGCCCCCCAAAAAGGGGGGCTAACCATAGCTGTGTAGCTAGCCACCTTGTAGCACATTATTATATACTAGTTAGCCCAAATTCAGTAGTCCTACAAACACCACTGCTGTTGTGTTTTCACTCTCCATTTATGTCAGAAGTGCTAACAGAGCTGTACGTTTTAATTTTTGCTGCTGGATTTTTGGCTTCACAACCCTCCTTTGTGGTTTGTGCATGTCAAAGCCCAGTTTGTTCTTCGTGGTGTTTCAGCCGACGTGTCGTCGTGTCGAAATACCATCATGTGGTGGCCTCGCTGGATCCGCTGTCCACCCGCTGTGTGATGACCCTCCTCCCAAATCCCCCCACCCAAGGGAAATACACCGCTCTCAAGGCACTGCTGCTGCGGCGCTACTCTCTCTCCAACGCAGAGTGGGCCGAGAAACTCCTCTCTCTCTGGCCTGGGTGATGGTATCGCTCTCGAGCTCATGTATTTCAGTCATTAACTGTCATCACAGGAATGCTTTTAACCAAATTTTCAGCACCAGTAGTGGCTCGTTTGAACATTCTGATGTGATCGTACTGCAGTTCAGATTTTCAGAATCTTAAATGAACCAGTTGGAAACATCTTGTATACAACTGTTAACTTTTGAAACTAAAATAATATTTTTCTATTCATAGCTCCTGTAGTCTTCAGTAATGAGTTAATGTTATTTTATAGTTTCTTACTAGAAAATGTAAGTTCTTTAAATTTGTTACTTATAAGCCTGATGATAGTTTTAAAGTAAGATTTATGATAATTATCATATTTTAGCGTGTAAAAGGTGTAAATCAACGCTTTCCATTTATTTGATGAATGGTATTCTGCTGGTAGTCGTTGGAGTTCTTGGGATTAACTGTTACTATGACAGACTACGTGACAAAAATACAACTTCAGTTTCCCTTTTCTGTAGAATTTCACAATGTCCGACCTCCAAGAAAATGAACGCTGAGCAACTATATAAGGGGACAAGGGGATTTTACATGTTGGAAATTTATTTTGAGCCTTTCATGGAAACATGCTAATGTGGTGATTTTTGATCAGAACTGCTGTTTGTTCCAAAGTTTAGTTTGATGTTAGATATTTTACATTAAAGACACAAACACACAGATGTGATGTGATCTAAGCTGAAGAGGAGGACAAGAAGTTACTAGAGCATGTGAACAAAAACCGTGAACAATGAAAGGTGGATATTGAGCAGCTAAAGACCATCAGTGATGGAATATTACAATTCTTGCAGCATTCATTCATACAGTCAGCATACTGACTGCATGATCACTGCAGCCTCCAGGCTTATGAGTTTAAGGTCAGCATCTTGTATCAGACTACCTCATGTGAAATGATCACTTTTTTATTACTCTTAATTGTTTTACTGTGTTTATTTTTGCGTAGAAAACGTTTTGTCTGTAATTGTTGAGTTTGCATCTTAGTATCACGTTTACCTGAGTTATCAGACTGCTTCAGATTGAGTAGATCTCAAATCGGTTGGCAGAATAGGTTTTAAACCACAAAATACGCACATATTTAATTAAATTATGTTCTGTATTTATGGTATTTCCGGTAGAAATTCCAGTATTTAGTGTAAGTGGATTTTGTTGTTATCATATAAAGCTGCACTGTCTGTTTCCTGCTTTATAGCTAAGGTAGACTGATTTATTGTAAGATGTGCTGTCAATTTACTTCTTCAAAAAAAGAGGATATGTGTTTCTTCGAAAAAATTGCATTATAGTATCTGTTAGTAGTTTCTTAGACAAGTTTTCAGAAGTCAGAAAAACGAAACAAAACAAAAAAACATAAGAGCACATTTGCAGAAGGAATGAAAATTTGAACTTTTGTAATAGCTTGTATTTTTATTATTCTACTAAAACAGTGCGATTTGAAAAGTATAGTGAAATCTACAGTATACAGTATGTCTACAGTAATCTACAATCTATACAGTATGTGGTTAACTACATCTGTAGGCTACAGTAGTCATGACAAAAAACTAGCACTGGTTTAAACTTTTAGAAGCATCAGGATAACTGATTTATGAGAAAATGTCATTTCAAGCAAGACCCTAGACCAGGGTTCAGCAACCTTCAACATCAACAGGGACATTTTAGCCCCTCCGACCGTATTCTGGGACAAAACAGCCGCACGCGCACTCGTGCGTATGTGTCTGTAGTGCGGCGGGGGGTGGATAGTCCGTTTATACCTAATACAAGAATATTAAGATTTCTCAATAAGACGAAGAGCTTTTTACTTTCAAGAACTGTTTTATAGATGCTATGAAGAGGAGGGGGAAAAAACTGGAAATGGGAAAATTCATCAAATAGAAAATAGTCCACTTTCAAATAAATAAAACGTAGCAGTGGCCGAATAGTTTTAAAGTAAAAAGAATAATCGTGATAACTATTTGTCTGTAATTATGACTTCAGTTCATTTTAATGTGCTGTCATCTTCTGTTTTTCATCAAGCCGCAGGCAGCAATCAACCATCCAGCCCTGGGCGTAAAAAAAATACAAAAGCTGATGGTGGAAAATATACATAGATGGTTATTGCAAAACACCAGAATATTCTGTAACAATCCAGCTCACAAAACCTTAAACACATGTGGACGAATCACCGGATACACACAGCTCGCGTTGCATGCCCACGTGATGTTTCGACGCACATTTAAGGCTGCCTGCTTCGCACAGATCCACAAAAGTCCTAGTATGAAACAAGTATGTGCAAATGTGTATGTCTCAGAAACTTAGGTGTTATATTTGACAGTTCAATGTCTCTTGAGAAACACACTAAACAACTTGTTCGGAACTGTTTTTATCATTTAAGAAACATTTCTAAACTCAGACTACTGGTGTCAAAGGCAGAACTTGAGGTGATTATTCGTGCTTTTATCTCTTCTCGTTTGGATTATTGTAACGGTCTTTTTACGTGTCTCAACAAATCAGCTCTGGATCGCCTTCAGTCTGTACAGAATGCAGCGGCAAGAC